ATAGGACTTGTAGTATACTATAGTCATTTGTAGTCGATTTTAGTTCAGTAAATTTATCAACAAAAAAATCATATTTTTTTGTATTTTTCATGTAATCTAACTCGCATGTTCCATTTTGCTATTTAACTCTTATTTTTTTGTCGCAGGTTTTGCTTTTATTATAGTTTTATGACATGCGGAGAATAAAATTCGATGAAGTGCCTTTCTGAAGTTGGATTCATGATTCATGCTACAGTACTCCAGACTTATGCCACTTATATAACTATAGATAATTGTATATAACTATAGTCACGTGTAGTAACATATATTTATATGTATGTTATGTTTTTTTAATGTTTAGTAATGCGTGTTCATGTTTTGAAGATTATATGCATGTGATTGTGTTTTTTCATTATTTTTGGGTTAGTTGATTTATAATATCAAGATTAAATTGTGAATTTTGTTGTTGGTTTAGATTAATTTTGGGGTAAAAAGACAGTATATGATTACATATAACTATACATGACTGTGGTATACTGTAGTCATATATAGTCAATTCAGTACAATAAATTTATCAAAAAAAATTAAAATATTAAAAATTAAAAAATTAAAAAAATTTAAAAAATTAAAAAAAAAATTTGAAAAAATTTTAAAAAAATTAAAAAAATTAAAAAAATTAAAAATTAAAAAAAAATAAAAAATTAAAAAAATTAAAAAAATTAAAAATTAAAAAATATAAAAAAATTAAAAAAATACAAAATACGATATGTATAAAAAATAATAATAAAATAAGAATTTATATTTTTATTAAAATAATATATAAAAATGATAAATGCTGGCCCAAAATGCTAAATGCAGTTCAACATTATGCTGAATGTAGGGGCAGAAATACTAAATACAGTTGGGCGAAAATTACACTTAAGGGCACAATAGTACTTTTGCATCTTCAGGGGGTATCTTAAAGAAAGAATTTTAGGGGTGAACCTATCCCTATATATTTTCCATTCTAGGGGTGTATATCAAATGGACCCTTACTTTTAACAACAAAATTGTTCTTAATCTAGCAACATATTGGGATAGTGGGTTCCACTTCCGACAAAGCAAAAACAAAATGACATAAAAAACCATCCTTGTTAGACGTTACTATCGCTTATTAATTACAGATAACTGATTACCCATTAGGCAGATTATTAATTTGGGGCTTAAGATATAGATCCCTACTCACAAAACTTATTAGAATTAAATGGCAAGTTAAACTAAACATTTACTACACATTATTTATAAATTTCTTCCAAAATTCTCCATCTACTCACAAATTCAAAATTTGCATTAAGTAAAATTCAAATTACATTTATCATTTTTCAGTCTGCATTTAGTATTTTCATTTTTCCATCCAATATTTAAAAAAAAAGTTTTTTTTTTAAATGAAAACACATTTGTCTTTCTTCATATTAACATTTTTACACTTATAAAAAAATTATTTTCCGTTCTGTTTTTTTACATATTATTGAAAATTAAAAAAAAAACATGTTTTTCGTTTTTTTAATTCAATTTGCATATTCTTTATTTTATTTGTTGTCAATATTATAATAGTCTGTGGTATACTATTATAGTCTATGGTATACTATCGGGTATTAAGATATACTACGGTGTACTATGGTTTACTACATCGTACTATATTCCAAACCCTAGCAGAAAAAACTTTCAGCCATCGCCAAAACCATAGTAGCTAACAACTCGCAGCCACCGTCAACTCCTATCCACCAAATTATAGCGGCCGCCAAAACCTTGTCGCCGTGAAAAAACTCTAGGTTGTTGCAACCCACCGTCAATCTAACATCACACCACCGTCTCCAATGGCCATCTACTACCATAACCATCCCCTCCATAACCACGATCACCACCGCCATCGCCTCCCTCTACCGCCAATTTTGGATAATAATAGGTAGGGTTGGGACTGGGTTGGGTCGGTCGATTACCACCGCAAAAACTGACTCATACGTCAAACCATTTCTGCTCAAATTTGAAAACCGTTGCCGACCCAACCTTTGTGGGTCGGTTGATGGTTGACAACCAAATATTTGGTTCCGTAATGGCTCGGTTGATGGTTTATACTCGCAACCCAATTCACTTAAAAAAAATCAAGTTTTGGAGTAAAAATATCCACATTCTGCGTAATGCCACGGTGCGATCATCATTTATCAGTTCAAAATAATTAATAACAATTTAACGAAAAAATATAATTAGGAAATTCAAAGTAATTTCAAACATGCACAAGAAATTTAGTGGAGTTTTGTGGGATTTCTGTTTAGGCTTGGGCATAAAAAAATAGGTGGAAGATTTAGGTCAATTTTTTTCCTTTGTTAATTGTTTTTAAAATTTAAAATACTATTTATTTTGATAATTTTAATAACCATTTAAGAAAATCAGGCCTTTATTTTATATTTTTGGATGTCCGATAATTATCAGTCAAAAAACTTTTGATAATATTGGAAACCACCAACCGAACCATTATAGATGGGTTGGTTGAAATTTTCGACCCGATCCAATGGGTCGGTTAAAAATAGATTATCCGCTTAAAAATATGGTCAGTAGTGGGTCGATTGGTGGATAAAAACCAACCCATTCCCAACCCTAATAATAGGGATGTACGCCATAGTCACCACCACTTCGGAATAAGCTAATAAGTCCATCAATGGATACTTACTCATAAAGGGGTCTAGACAAAAAAGTTTTTTACAAAAAAGTTCACACATGGTCCAGAGGTTTCTAAAAGACTAAAATAGCCCCTCACATTTTAATATGGTCCAATTTCATCCTTTAATTTAATCTAACCTCAATTTGACCATAAAATTCACAAATTATTCAATTTTAACCCAAAACATAATTTTATGGACAATTTCGTCTGTCGCCGCCGTTGACCGCTGGTCGCTGACTTTGACTTCGTTTTTTTTTCTTCCTGATTTTTCTGCCGGTTTCCGGCGTTGACTCTTTCAATATTATTTTTTTTTCCGTTCCTAATTTTTCCGTTGGTTTCCGGCGTTGACCGTCTGTCAACACCTGTTTCCTGCGTTGATTTTTTCGATTATGTTTTTCTTCCTTTTTTTTGGCCGGTCTCTGCGTTGACATTTTCGATATATTTTTTTTTCTTTTTCTTTAACATCTTTTTGCCCCCTGTTTAAACAACAATATTGTTGTGGTTGACGGTAATATAAATAATATTACTGTTAAACACAGTAAAATTAACTATACTACAGTTTAACACAATAAATTGTTATCTTAACCCTAAAATTAATTATACTACAGTTTAACACAGTAATATTATTAAAATAATCTCTAGCACAGTAATATTAACACAACAAAAATCATTATTATTGTGTAATAGAGTAATATAATATGTTGACCGTTCAACCACAATAATATTGTTGTGTATACAGTAATATTATAATAATAGAAAATAATATTATAATGTTATTCCGTCAATAACTCAAACAAAACAAAAAACAAAAAAAATAATAATATTGATGTGGTTGACACTAATATTATTGTGTTTACACTTATTTTACTGTCAACGACAATAATATAATTACGTAGACCTGTCAAAAAATCAAACAAAATGAAAAAAAAAATAACCAAAAAAATAATAATATTGTCGTTGACTCTAATTGTACTCAGTACAATTACGTAAATGTACTGTCAACGACAATAATCGAACATTATATTATTTGTTGTACTTTCTTGATTTTTTTTATTTTTATTTATTTTTAAATATTATATCTAAATTTAATGGCAATATATAATAAGTAAAATCATATATTATCACATGCAATACACGTGGTGCTTGCTAGTCTAAAATAATATTGGCATATAGTTTGTTTACATCATATATCTAGTATCATTCATCAGTTTTACTGTTCTTTTCGGTGGTCATGTTTTCTTAATATGTTATATCTGTAGCTGCATATTTTCTTAAGGCTTATAAATCTACCACCAATACTTGAGGCTGCCTGGGCAATGCCATCAATGGATCACATGTCGATGGGATGTATAACATATATTATATATATATGTGTGTGTGTGTGTGTGTGAGAGAGACTTTTCCTGAGAAAATTAAAGGAAAAAAAAGAAGAAGATTATTAAAATAAAAAAATGTGTGCATTATATTAGGAGGTTGAGAGGTGAGAGAAGCCCAATTGTTGAGGCTGACATGAAATGCAGTACTTTTAACATGACAAGTATTTATTTATTGCAATTTGGCAGAGGTGTGTGGCCATTGTAGTTGAAAGAATTATAAGTACTACTGTACTAAGTCAAACCAAATAAATAATTACTGTACCTGCTGCAACTTCATTTGACCAGACAATAATAAGAGATAATCAGTATTGTGTAGTTTTATGTCAAGTCATTGCACGAAAATTATTAATGGAAGAAAGTTGCATGGTAAAAAAGTTTTGGTAAAAAAGTTTTAACTTTCTGCCTTCATTCTTTAATATCTGTTGCTTTGGATAATTCTTTTTTTTTTTTTTCCATATAATCTGTCACTTTAAATTTCCAACACTTTATTAATGATTTATTTTTCAATTTATATCTTTATTAACTCTTTCTACCATTTTTTTAACTATTTTTTCTCTCTTATAAATTATAATACAAGGTCATTTTAGTCTTAAAACATACATTTTCCTAAAATTAAAACACATTTAGTGAAATTCTTAATCTTTGTGCAAAGCTAAAAAACGACAAATTAAATCGGAGCGGAGGAAGTATATTGTAAACTACTATAAGGAGTATATATATTCATTAATTACTAGTGTAATTTTCACAACGTACAACTTCCCATGATGGAAGATGTAGTTTCAGAAATAAATACTTTTTACACCTCAACATTAATAATATATAGGTGATGATATATATATATATATATATATATATATATATATATATATATATATATATATATATATATATATATATATATTTGAACAACTCCTAGCTAACCAACCAAACAAATTAAAGAAATTTCACAGAAGAAGATGCAAATATTAATACTCAATTTTTTCCATGTACCCTAATCTTGATTTTCATAGGGTTCTTTTTTTTTTTTGAGAGAGAGAGAGGAATATTATTAATTAACATTTATTAATATGATTATGGGATCGGATATACAACGCGTAGTCGATCAATTAGCCACTAGCATTGTCCCAAATACCCTCAAGCTCTCGAGCGAAAGCCTCCTTCCTTCCGACAACAATAGTAATGTGATCTTTGTTCTGGACAACCTTAACTTTTGCTCTAGGGATTTTAGACTGCATATTGTAACTGCATTCAACAGGGATTAGTTCATCATCTTCCCCATGAAATATGGTGACGTCACACTTTGATCTATTCTTCAACTCCTCCAAATACTCTTCCATTTTTGCAGCTGTCCCACATATTATATTGTGCAGTGTATGCCACGCAGAGTTGTGCGTGTGTTGGAAAAAACCCTCCATCAAATATGTTCTCATCCTATATCCAAAATTAAAAGTTAAATGAATATTATTCTTTCAACAAAAATCAGTGAAATTAAGATTGTAAAATAGATTTACTGAAAACAATAAATTAAGACTCCAACAATATTTGATCACTTCATAAAGCAAAGCAATAAATGAATAGTTTCCAACATTGGGTTATATTGTGGGTCCTACTAATAATAATGTGGTATTATATCATAGCCAAAATAATAGGTGCAAACGTAGTTTTCAGTGATTAATGAATGTTATAACGTTATATATTTCAAAAAGAATAAACTGTAAAAAGAACAATTAATGTTACTTTCAACAACTCTATAGAGTAGATGCAGCAGTTACACCATTAATTAATTAATTAAACAAGCTAATTAAGTGTGATAAAATTTCATTATTTATCTCTACCGCTTCTTCCATCAAAAGTAGGACTCAAACCAGAATTCATGGTATATATATATTCCACCAAGTCATACATACCTTATTTTCTGGTTTTGTCAAAAAAAAATCCTAACAAAATTTTTTTGAGGGCGCTATACTCGAATCCCAAAAAATTAAGGCTACATGTAACAAATACTTGCTAAGATTTCTGCACTCACCACTATCTTAAATATATCGGGTCCAATATCAAATATACTAGCTAAAAACAAGATAGACGTTCAATGTACTCTCTTCGTCCCATATTATATGCTGTTTTTCGTGCTTACGCGTATATTAAGATATTCAATAAATAATATGCATAAATTATACCAAATAAAACATTATAAATACTAAAATTACCCTAGTCAGATGGTCCGGCCGATGTGCACATATTAAAAAGAAAATACACTTATATGGATCTTAAAAATAAATATAAAATAACTAAAATATTTTTACTAATTATGTCTATTCAATTAATTAGTACTTTTTTGTTTGTTTGAGGTGTCAATGTTTACAATAACTTATGACTAAAACTTTTAAAATATTATTTTATTTGTTTTTTTAATTAAAACCAATTATCAGTTTTTCCAACGTAGAATTAAGAAAATGTCATACAATAATTGGAAGAGATCGAAAAACTTTACTGAAAAACAAGTATTAATAATTAGAAATGGAGTAAAAAGAAGTAAAAGAGACCTGTTTCTGATGAGTAATTTGGTGAGAAATTCCCAGAAGCGGTGGTTCTTGCATATCACTAAGCAGAGGGTCCGGCCGATGTGCTCATACCAGCAAGCTACTGACGCGCCAAATGCGATTGGTGGCCACACGCGCCGTGGGGCTACTCTTCTCATCATATACTGTGTTGCTTGTTCCCCCCTTGGTGCTGGAAAATATGGCTGTCCAATTTTTCTTTTTTTTATCAAACTTTATTTATTTCTTTTTTAATAAACTTACCAAATTTCTGTACCACCTTCAAAATGACGAATGTTTGTTTTTTTCCTGTACTTGGTAATTTATCATGCCAAAATTATGCAATATATTATTCACTGGTCCCCAATTACTTTATGAATTTAGTTCTTAATTTTCACAATAATACAATTTAAAACCACACTTATATTTTAAAAAAACAATGATAATTCTACAGGCTTCAACAAAGTTCAAGGAATACTTTTATTTTGTTAAAGAGTGAATTGTAAAAAAAAAAATTCCCTAAGTTATTTCAAGTCGTTAAGAATTCTCGTGTTATTAATATTAACAGTACTAATTACTGCATTTTTAGTAGTTAAATAGAATTAAATTCATAATGCATAGAATTGAATAACCCATTTTTAGACATAGTAGCATTTTTTAGTAGTTCAATAAAATTATGTTCATAGAGAGCGAAAATCAAAGTGTAGATCTTGATTGTAAAATGACAAATTGGACGCTGTTCATAAATGGGCCACGAATTAATTAATACTAACTCCGTTCCATAATATCTGTCGCTTTAGAGAATTTTTTCTATTTCGTATTATATGTCACTATAAATTTCCAACACTTCATTAATTACTTAATTTCCAGTATATACCCTTATTTACTCTTTTCACTACTCTTTTTTAAACTAATTTATCTCTCTTATTAATTATAAGTCAAGGTTATTTTAGTCTAAATGCATACATTTTCCTAAAATCAAGACACATTTAATACAATTCTTAATTTTTGTGCAAAGCTAAAAAACGACAGTTAAAACGAAACGGAGGGAGTACTAAAACATGAACTACTTACAGGTGCAAGTAACGTCAAGGACTTAACGGAGTCGGGATACTTAACGGCAAGAGCAAGAGCCAAAATGCAGCCAAGAGAATGCGCGACTATGTGGAATGATTTCACTTTGTATGCATCCATAATAGATTTTTCAATCATCTCCAAATGGTCCGTCAGTGTGTAGAGTGAATCTATTGGTTTAGGGCTTCTCCCAAATCCAAGCAGATCAACCGCAAGTAATCTGTACTTTGATTTGCATGCTTCAGACATGTTCGGATAAATTGTTTCCGTCCAAAATGCCGACGACGAAATGAACCCGTGTATGAACAACACATCTTCTTTCACGTCATCGTCTGGTTCAGGAACAAAATTATCTTATTTAATTGAATAATATATAGTATAATTTTGTCTTTTTGTTAATTACGTACCTTTAGCTCCATCAGCTTTGACGAAGAGCGTTTCTTTGGAAGAAGAACAAGTCCATGCGGTGCAAGTATCGCAATCGCACTCCGACCACCTCGGAATCGGCAGAGTACTTGTTTGCTGTTGTCGTCCCTTTATTTTGCCTTGCAGCATTTCGACTATTGTTGGATTAACTGTGAACGTGGGACGTCGTTGGATTATTTTGGTGGCGGTTGCCGTTGATTTGGACACCTCAGACACGAAAGAAGGGCGCGTGTACAGAGTGTCCGAGATTTCTTCGAGCTGCAGTACTTTATTACTGCAGCTTAACCGGACAATCTTCTTCTTATTGGAATATTCTCCATGCTCGGAAACTAGGATATCGCCGCTGCATGAGCTGGTGATTAGTGCTTCTTCTTTTGCCGATGAAGAACAATAACAGGGCTTCCACTCTGCTTCCACACAAAAATCGGCGATTTTGTACGAATAGCAGAGAATGAAATCGAGGATGTCTAACAGGGTGAAAACAAAGAAACTCAAGATATGGTTGAGGAATCTCCCTGCCATTGTTATAATAGATACAATCTGATCTTTATAAACCGCCATTCTTTTTTGTGAGAAAAAACAAACTGCCCGGAAAAAAACACCACCAGAGTTTGGTTGGCAGCAAAAATGGGGAGAAGTGACGAGATTCATTAATCGATCTCTACACAAAGGGCTAATATAATTATGATTTAGTGTTCTGAGAGGGTTTGTGTTTATATAATAATATAATATTGGAGAATGGAGTTTTCAGTATCTTTTTTCCTTAAGCAAATAATGCTTTTGACTGCTTGGTGTTTATTTTTGGAAAGGGGTATATATGAAAATGTGAGAGATTTTCTTATAATTAATTAAGATTGATCTAAGAGAGAGAGAGAGAGAGTAGAGAGAGAAAGGGGAAAGGGAGATCGATGTAAACAGGTAAGAGATAAATGAATTAATTGTGACATTAAAATCGGTTAGCTGGACAAGGCAGAAAAAGGGTTGGTGGTGGTTGAATTGAACCCCCTCCCCCTGCACTTGCACTTTTGCACTGCACAAGAAAAAAAATATTAAAAGAAAGAAATACCCATATTCTCTATGATATATGCATGAATGTATCTTTCCTTCCATACATTCAATAATCTCTCTTTCTACGATATATAAATACAGTTTATATATTGTCATCATCGTATGTCACCACATGACTTACTAGTTTTACTATAAACTATTTGCTATTAAAAATGTGACAATTTGCTTTCTTTCTTAAATAAAATTCCACAGCCCAACTTTACTTGGTATTATTAGGGCTTCTCCAAACTGACTTTTTACGTTATATATCTCACTTTGTTAATTTATCATTAACATTACACTATAGTTTGACAAATTAAATCAAACTTTTTCTTCGTTGAAATTACGAAGCGTTAGTACTCAGCACGATTTTTTATTTATTTTTTCTCGATTTCAGAAAAAGAAACGGATGGAGTAATTGTTGTTACTTATTTATAAAAGCAATGTAAAATTGACACAAGTATATGTATTTACTTCTTTTCTTTTTCTTTTTCTTTTTAAAATATAAAAATGGCATATATATATAATTGTGATAAAGCTAGAGGAACCATTCGCTCAGATTACCCGATGGTAGCAAAACAACATTAATAAATAATAATGAATGTAAACAATTAAAAACAAATTTGCATTTATTAATAGTAGATTAATAAGCCACATGACTTCCATAAGGTGCCAGCCAACCTCTCTCAAGTCTCAACATGTACACCGTCGTCGTCGTCGTCGTCACCCATTCTTATTAAATATGCTTTCTTCTGATTTCATGATTCTGTTTTAACAGCAAAATTGTTCTTAATCTAGCAACATATTAGGTTAATGGGTTCCGACAAATAAAAAGAAATGACATAAAAAAACATCCTTGTTACACGTTACTATCGCTTATTAATTACAGATAACTGATTAATTAGTGATTACCCATTAGGCAGATTATTAATTTTTAGGGGACTTAAAATATTGATATGTGGTAACAAAACTTATTACAACTAAATCACAAGCTCAACTAAATATTTGTTACACATCATTTATAAATTTCATTCAAAAAATGCCCTCCACAAACAAAAAATGAAATTTCCACTGAATACCGTCTCTTCCTTCAATTCCGTCTCTTCCTTTTTTCGTTCATCGAAACTAGAATAGTAGGGATTCCATTTAGAATAACGGAATCTCGATCTTAATCTGGATATCGATATAGTTAATTGGTCAAAAAATTATAGTTGACTATTGAATTTTTATAATTAACTATGGAATATATATAGTTGACTACCAATTTTTTACAGCTGAAAATAAAAATTTGTGTGTGTTTCTGCGATATTGCTTCTTTGAGGCATAACTTTGGAACTAGTTACTATTCCCCAATTCCCCTCCTGGTGTTTCGAACCCATGACCAAATAGTCCTAGGTGCAAGGTGCTTAGCAACATGCTAACTTATCTTTATTTACATTTTTTTTGAAAAATTAAGGAACCAAGAATTGCTCGTAAATTCTTGATATGTAAAAAATAAGGATAGTTTAGATAGTGTGAAATTAGAGGGGGTTTGACTTATTAAAATGGAGGAGGATTAGTTCTAATATTTTGTTAATGAGGGGTTCTGCCTTATTAATCCTATTTTTAATTCTAATGCTAATTAATATGATTAGGTCATACTTATTAGAAAACTGATTACCCATTAAGCAGATTATTAATTTTTATACTAATGCTAATTAATATGATTAGTTCATGATTATTAGAAAACTGATTACCCATTAGGCAGATTATTAATTTTTATGTTAATATTAATTAATATGATTAGGTCATGCTTATTAGACGATGTATATGTTTTCCCGAGTTGTACCAGCGTAGCCTATTTAAGTATGTTGGATATATAATTCATTTGGTGATAAACTCTGCATAAACAATGCCAAACTTATAAGCTATTCTCAGGGATTACTTACCATTCCCATAGTTTAAGAATGTTGATATCTTTCGATAAATATTTTTCACCATATAAATGATGCATCTACCCCTCATCTAGAATCTCACTCATTTGAATACTCAAAACATAATACACTAATTATATTTGTAGGTTAAATATATTTTTTAATAACAAGATATAAAGAACCAACAAAATATTAAAAAAATACAAATGTATCAATTATGACTATTTACTATCAAATATTTATTTCATTACATTGATTTTTTTCCCTCTTAAAATGACTATATAAACTATAAACAATAACTGTATACTTATTATTAATTATAATAAAAATTTAATACTAAATTAATTCATTTTATAAGCAAATAATATGATGCAACATCAGATTATTAATATTTTTTTTTTTGAAATAATAAATATTAAAAAAAATAGTTTTTATTTTATATTACCTTTTTTTTTTTTTAATTATCAATGATAGTCGTAGCAACAATGGAGTAAAATATAATACTTCCGTAAAACATAAACAACATGTTGTTGGAGTGAAATGTTAAAAATAGTGTTTCAAAAACGTCACTTCTTATATTATAGATATAAGTAGGAGTGCAACTTGGAACGGAATTTTCAACTTTCGCCGATTCCGATGCAAACTTATTTTCTAAGTATTCGCTTAAAGTCACTTTGAAAATTCATGTTAAGGCTATTGAATTGCGTAAATTATACGGGCTCGCTCCTTTATAGACACGAGGAGGAGTTAACTTGAGGGGGAGGTCCTGTAGGTACCCAGTATCAAGAAGATACCTCTGGTGCCCTGTTGTATTTTTTTCTTTCGTGCGAGCTTATTTTTCCCACAGGGTTTTCATTACTCGACAAGGTTTTAACGAGGCAATATAGGTGATTGAAAAGATTGGGGTTGTACTCTTTTTTATAACCGAGATTATTTTCTCCCACTGGGTGTTTACTTGGATGGTTTTAATGAGGCAACATGAAAAACACAACAGTGGTTTGATAGGAATCCCCGAGGGGAAGTGTTGTAAAAACTATATATAATAGTTCATATTCTTAACCACTTGAGGGTATTTAATTTTCGACTTATTTCATACCTTAACATCATTATCTCACTACTCTCTAAAGTGTCCATGATGTAGTTAATGGTATAACTCCATGGGTAACACCTATGAACAGGGGCGAGTCCACCCAAGGGCTAGGGTGGACTCAAGCCCCCCCTCACTTCCAAAAATTTTCCCATTATATATATATATATATATATATATATATATATATATATATATATATATATATATATATATATATATTATATATATTTTTGATATATATTCTATTTAAGTTTTTAGTCTATTCAAGTATATTATTTAAGCCCACTTATTTTTAGTCTATTTACTCAAAGCCCCCCATGTATATTTTATTTATATTTTTAGCCTATTCAATTATATCTTTTTTTCTTTTAATCTATTCAATTATATTATTTAAGCCCACTTATTTCTAGTCCACTTACTCAAAGTCCCCCATGTCTGACTTGCTCTCATCTTCTATTTTTCAACTTCGTTACGTTTCTTGAAAAAGAAAAAAAAAACTTTGTTCTCTCCCACAGTCTCACTAATAGCAGTTAAATTGCCACCCACCGACAATCGTTTAGCATTTGACAACTTCTCTCTCATCTTAATTTTCAGATTGGGTATCAATTAGAAGTCGATTGTGTCAATTTGATAATCGACTTGATATTCATGTTTCTTAAATTTTTATAGCAATTTAGCTTTCACGATTCGTTTTGGATTATCATCTGAAAGTGAAGGGAAAAAAATGCGTATCAAATTTTCATCTCAAATTTCTTTTATACAAATTTTTTTTCGGGGGCGCTGCCCCCGAACCCCCCGTGTGTTTAAGCCCCCTCTCACCAAACTTTCTGGCCTCGCCACTGCCTATGAACCTTCCTTTGTAACTTCCCGGTGGTTACCATCTATATAAATGAGAGAAATTCCCTCCCTATTTGTATCACATAATTTTCTCTCTACAGATTTGTTCGTTGCATCCTATGTTTCTCTCTTTCTCTTGTTGTTTACATTGTACTCTCCTGTATTATTCCACAATCACAAACCAAAAGAGCTAGATAAATAGGTCATTTTACAATAAATAACTAATATTCAGGGATATATTATCCAATAGTTATTGGTAAATATGATATTTTTCATTATTGTAATACTTTAATAATTTAAAGGTCAATTTACTTGATCAATAAATTAAAATTCACATCGAAATTTGAGGGTGAGATTGAATTAAGAAAATAAATATAATTTAAATTAAGTGTCAATTAACTTGTTGGGACGATTTCATACAAAATATAGGTAATGTTTGGATCCAGTTTTATCTCATTTTTATTCTTTCCCAAAAACGAATTCGTGTTTGTTAAATTAAAAAAAAAAAAAAAAGTTCAAAACAATTTTAAAAATTTTTCCCACTTCCAGAATAATTTGATTATCATACTAAAAAGATTTGATTGCTACATCAGAAACTATCTTAACTAAAAACCAAACAATCATCACTTTATTTTTGGAATTGTTCTTCTAATCACTAGGCCAAAACAGCTCACTTGCGACGTTTTCTTTGGCGACGATTCAGGAATAGTTGCGAGTTTGCGACGATTTATATTAAAAAACGTCGCAAGATATCGGAAAATAAGATTTCGGTGGAATATCTCGCGACGATAACAGTAACCGTCGCAACGTAGCGACTATATGTCAAAAAACGTCACAAACGGAAAAAAGAAAAGTCCTCTTGTAGCGACGTTTTTATATAAACGACGCACGAAAAATATTTTTTGCAATTTATTTTTTACCTTCGCGACGAATATGACGTATACGTCGCTAGTGCAATTGTGAAAAAAAAAAAAATTATTGGGTTGGCGACGAATTTGGATAAATGTAGCGTAATAAAGTGGACATATTAAATCATATTTATTCGTAGCGACGAAAGTGTACTAAACGTCGCAAGTAAAATATTTTGTTAAAAAAATTATGATTATTATTTGCGACTATAGTGTATTAATCGTCGCCAAAATAATTGTTGAAAAAATCCCGCTTTTTTCTAGCGACGTTTCTGT